TCTAAAATGAATTCTTCTGATGTGCATCCAATAAGAATTTCTGTTATTTCAATAATATTACCTTTGCTCTATCCCTGTCATTTTCCATAAAGATCTAAACTAAATACCTGCATTATTCATTACCAATTTCTCTTAGATTATAATATTAATATTTAATTTGAAGAACACAGTATGGAATTTATGAATACTTACTAATTTTTCTTATGTCTTCCATGGAGATTTTTTCTTTGATTAGGATAAAGTTATTAAATTATTTTTTAATGTAACTCATTCAGTGCTTCATTAATAGATATGTCTTATGTTAATGCCAATTCAAGTGATTCATTGACGTTTTCTGAATTTTAGATTTATTTCCATCACTTTCCCATTTGCAATGGAAATAACTCAATTCTTTTAAAGTTATCTCTAAATATTCTAATAGTTTCTCCATATGTAATTCCTTGTATTCTTTTACCCTATAAATATTATTAACGTCAAAGATTAAAGTTTCTAAATTAAAATCAATTAATGCTAAGGTATAATATTATAGTGTTTTATCATTTCTATGGATTTAAACATCTATCAATTAATGTTACGAATGTATTTTGGCTACCCCAACTTATTACTAAAATTATATGAAATTACTTTAATTTATATAGTGCCGATAATTTTTAATCTATAATATTTTTAAAAATTTTATCCATTAACCGGATGTTTTTAATCAATTCTTATTGTTTTTGTTTACCAGTATCAACTTAGACTATTCTTAGATGCTGAAAATGGATAGTAAATCCCTAAATTAGAAATTTTAATATATATATATATATGAAAAATACCAAACAATTACACTTTTCTTTGCCAAGTTTTAAAATTTTAGCCCATTTTTGTGGTTTTGAACTTTGAGGGTGTGATTTATAATTTTTAAAATTTTGAAAGAGTTTTTAAAAAAATTTACTTTTAAGTTTGGTAGTTGTAAATTCTATGTTTCATGTGTTGGTGGTAATTTTTTAAATGTTAGTATATTTCTTGTAACTCTAAAATTTTGAGGGTGTCTTTTGCAATTATTAAAACTATAGATTAATTTTGAAAAATATTAAATTTCAGCGGTCTACCAATCGACGAATTTGATGTGTGCTAGTTAATTTTTTTGAAAATTTAGAGTTTTTTTTTTACGATTTTTAAATTTTGAAGGAGTTTTTTTTAAAAATTTTGAAGTTAATTTTGGAAAATTTTAATTTTTTAGGTGTCTAAGGGTAATATCTTGAATTCATCTTATTTTATTTATAAATTTTAGAATTTTAGGGTGACTTTTTATAATTTGAACTTTTGAAGGTGTTTTTATAATTTTTTAGATATTGAGGGTGTTAATTAAAAAATTTAAATTTAAATGTCAAAAATTTTAGGTGTATCATGGTAATCTATTAAATTTATCTGTGTTGTTTGAAAGTTTTAAAATTTTAGAATTTTAATGTGCTTGTCTGTAATTTAAACTTTTGAGGGTGTTTCTATAATTTTTGAGACATTGAGGTGTTAACTGTAAATTTTAAATTCTTTGCAAACTGATGTTAATTTTTTAATTTCATATTTTTTATTTTATGTTTTGAGACATTTGGATGAGTTTTATAGTTTTGAACTTTTCAGGGTCTTTTATGCAATTTTAAAACTTTTTATAATTTTTTTGCAATACTTCATGTATTATAATATGTTATCTACTTGTATTTTCTTTATCTTAACAAACTAATATCATTTTTATGTTTTATATATTTTATTAATATTAGTTTTTTTAAATTGTTAAGCTAAACATGGTTCACATAGGATTAGGATAAGATATGATTATGATTAGGATAGATTAAGATATAAATAAAATATTCAAAATAGTGAAGGGTAATATTAACCATTAAAAATTAGAATTTGATTATAGATAAGGTAGTTCAAACTATAAAGGGGTATATTTGTCTAAAAAAGATTTTCCGAACTCGTGCTTTTAAAGGGAGTATGATACGCTCAACTGACCGCAACTAGTCAAAACTTACTGCACTATTACGGCATCTTCATGACTATTTGGTTGATAATAAATGGTCCCTGTCCATGACTTCAAACACAGCGAAAATATCATACAAATACATATATATAAACTCCCTTCCAGTTTGCTAAGAAAATTCATCTTTGTAAAATTAACATTTATATATTCTTTTTATCTGAATAAATTTTTTTTTACCCTACTTCATCATTCTCATTTCAGCTACACTCAATACGGTAATACCCCAGTATTTATCCATCAAGCTAATATTACCACACGCTTAGCGGCATGCATCCTATCAAACTATGTACGCCAAATACAGTATCATGCATCCAAATACAGCACTTGTTTTCTTAAACCTCTCCTTCAATTCTAGTATGATACTTATCACAAAATAATTTGAGCAGTGACAATACAAGCTATAATGCCCTATATTAATGGTTGAAACCTTGCTTTTTTTTTTTTTTAAGATCTTAGTTGTCAACTAGCTAGCTAACCCCAAAAAGGGCATTTCTCGTGTGAACTGAACGTAAACAAATTGATATTATTTTTCACAAAGTGCGGTTGCATCTGAGTTAATCACTTTCTGGGCCAGGGTCCAAATAGAGACACTTGGGTGGTAAGAGGGCCCCACTCACTACCCAAAACAGGAAGAAAGACTCCCAAGCCCACAAAAAAGGAGATTATTTTTAATCCTAACCGGTCATTTTTATAATTAAATCAATGTCTCCTTGTCCTCAGTCCCCTCATGAAAGAAAACAAAGAGACCCATCAAAGCTCTTCATGGATTCTATGGTGTATACGTGGCCTCATTGATAAAGGTAACATAGAAAATGAGATTGTTCCCATGTGTTTCTCTTATCTGCATGATTTGTTAACCACCATATGATTGTATATTACCCCTATCAACTCTAATATATAAGAGATACCCATAATTTTTTATTTTTTGAATTAGAAAATTAGTCGGAGCAATGAGAATTGAGGAGGATATAAAAGTGGGGCAAAAGGAATTGAGAGGGCCTAATTTGGACACGACAGCAGACAAGCAAAAAGATTGGATTAATGTGAGGGAGATTTAAAGCTTATCTTCTCAGTTTTATGGGAAAATGAAGGAGGAGATCATTCGCAGCTTGCAAGCTCATGCTGAATTCTGATCCACCTCCTCTTTATTAATTATTTAATTAAATAAATTCATATTATTAATTAAGAAAGGATGGACCCTACGACACGCATGAGCAAATAATAGCTGCAACTGCACGTGATGAAATAGGTGATCGAGTTTCCACCTTAGTGTGTCATCACTCGAGCTTATGACTCATGTCTAACACCCATATATGCCTGCCCCATAAAGTATAACCACGCCATTAATTTGAAATACTTTGTTATTTATATGAAATCCTAAAATTAATCAACAGTTAAGATTTATTAATCCAAATTCTGACCTTGTTATTGCCCTCTATCTCTATATCAGAAGAGACTCATTAATATCTTGAGCTTTGATGGGTTTGAGTTTATCAGCACCATTTTTTTGAAACTAACTAAAAGGCTACAAGACCAAATTGAAAAATATATAAAATTAGATCATAGAATTAGATTCTATGATTTTTTTTTTCCCCCACATGTTAATGACAGCAGCAATAAGTACACTCAGAGCTAGCCACCATTTCTATAGTTCCTAGCCATCACACTCATCATTATTATTATTGACTAATGAGTAATTATCAACTAAGAGGACATCAACATGAATACACCTTTATACACAAAAAAAAAACAAACAAACATCTGCACATATTAAGTCCTAAAAGTACTTATAGCTAGTAATGGCACACCAAAAAAAAAAAGGCCTAGCCTGCCTATAAAATAGAGATGCAAGGCGTAAAAAGGACCAAGCATCTACAAAGGACATGGAGAATTTGCACCACATTAAGCAATTATACAGCTTTAGACCAGTTTGCTTCTCTATTCTCTCGTAAAAAAACACACAGCGAGACATAATTAGCAGGTGCTTGGTAATCAGAGAGAATCTGAAACCTAATCTTCACTGTTTCAACACAGGTTGAACTGTAATCATGTACTTGATCTTTACAGTAGGTGGTTGGCGAGCAGATTGCTTGCTCAATGACAGCTATTAGCCTCTACCAACTCCCTTGCAGCCCTGTAGTGTTTGGTGGTCAAACTTCGGCAGGGGTTATTTCAGCCGGCCCGTTTGAGAATTCCAAGCTCAACAGAAAACTACTGTGAGATCCTGAGCCCTACTGTAACCGGACTTTCAAGGGATCAAAAGGTCTATAGATCAAGCGAAAGTTTTCTACTGTAACCAGGGTCCAGATGCCCATCTTTAGAGGAGAGTTAATTGCGGTTAGAGCCCCGAACTTTCACTCGGTTGTGGATTGACCCCTTCTATTTCTGTTATTATTTAGCGAATAGACCTTTCGGTTGTAAAAGAGTCGAAAGAATTCTCACTCGGCGGTCCTATTCGTAACTGGGTGATAGTATAGGGGATCTATCCGCAATTAAAGCTTAGGGAAAATACATGGGTCTTCTAGTATCAAAATGGCCGTATAGATCATGTATGGTATAATGTCTCGCGGTTAGTCCCATACCATACGGAGAAGGGCCAGCAACCGGATGGCTGTGATGAGGCCACAAAGGCAAGCACTTATTTTTGTGTACCACCACCTGATCATTCCCAATCTCCTTCCTAAAAAACACGCTAACTCGAGCAACTTTAAACACCCTTGATTCTCCCTGTCCTTAACCTACTCTTTTAATATCACCCAGCCTAAAAGCCCTCCCTCATATGTTCAGATCACTGAACCCAGCCCCCTTCATGTACTCAATATAATACTCATATCTCCCTCAGCCCCCTTGGCATTTTCTACAAACTACGCTCAGAATAAAAAATATATTTTACTCCCTCATAGGCTCTATAAATCCACACTAGCAATAATATCTACATGCCTCCCAACTCCAACAACATCATCACCACCACCAACCCCCCTCTCTCTCTCTCTCTCTCTCTCTCTCTCTCTCTCTCTCACTTCTTAAAATAACATGTACATGAACCAAGCTTGGATTTGGCAACCAACCATGGGATCTAATCACAATCACCATTACTTCCAATTTGAGCAAGAACAAGACCGAGGGGTCTACAGGAAGGAGCACATGTTTGAAAAACCTCTGACGCCGAGCGACGTCGGAAAGCTCAACAGGCTAGTGATACCGAAGCAGCATGCTGAGAAGCACTTCCCCCTTGACAGTGAATCAGGGGAGAAGGGGCTCCTCTTGAGCTTTGAGGACGAGTCAGGCAAGTCTTGGAATTTCAGGTACTCGTACTGGACAAGCAGCCAGAGCTACGTGCTCACTAAAGGATGGAGCAGGTATGTGAAGGAGAAGAAGCTTGATGCTGGTGATGTGGTACTATTTGAGAGGTGCAGGCTTGGGAGCAGGAGTGATGATCGCTTGTATATCGGCTGCCTGCAGGCGTCGAGTTTCTAACGAAACTGCTGCCCCTTCAGCTTCAGTTTCAGCTAGGAGCCCATCATTTTATGCAGCAGGAGCGTCTACTCCTTATGCAGCTCCCTATTACTACATGAGCCCAGTGAATTCAGGTAACAAATCTTTGTCCTTTTAGCTCATCGGCCTGGATTTTGAATTTTATTCGTTCATACGGGGGTTTAACCCTACAGGAACAACTGTTTCCATTCATGTAACACATGTTTCATTAAAAAGAAATTGCGTCTGAACAAATCCTGGGTTTATAACTGTAACTGTAGCTAGTTTATGGGATTTGTGTTTATATTATATGAGATCAGGCCGCCGGCTCTATGCGCCTGAACAAATTGTGGGTTATTAACTGTAACCGAAGTTTATGGGATTTGTGTTTATATTATAGGAGATCAGGCTGCAGCTAGCTCCATGGATAACACGGTGGCGGTGGCCACGACGGGGAATTCGAGGAGGCTGAGGCTCTTTGGAGTGAATTTGGAGTGTGGGCCGGATCCAGAAGAGCCTGACCAGCACTCGGCGTCAGGTGCATGGAACCAGTTCATGCCCACCAATGCCTCCACCTCTCAATTGTAGTCAATATGGTACGCTCAAAAAACTTATGTGAAATAAGTTGGTGCGGAGAAAATCATGTGGGCTAATCTTTTGAATGTTGATTACAATGCTACAGGACACGGAGGGGGAGATCTGGGGCCATATTCTCAAAACCCGAACAACCAATCAAATTAGACCTCAGCCCAAGCGACATTTTTGATGGACTTGTGAAGGAACCAGAGAGGAGAGAAAAGCAAGACGGAGGGGGAGAAAAGAGTAGGAGAAAATCCCTGGTTTTCAGGGGCTCTCTCTTTCTTTGGCTTTCTCTCTCTCTCTCTCTCTTTTGTTCCGATTTTCTTTTCATTTGTAAAACTCGCTGTACGGCTCTGTCGGAGATGGGGTCAGATAGGATGGCAGAGTGAGGTTTCAGGAAACATCAGGTTGAAAAGGGTGAGTGGGCCCAGAGAACTTGGAGGCCCCACCAACTCCTACTGCTACTGCTACTCTCTGTAATGTAATCTTTTGGTGAAATGCTACTGCTAACAAGGAATCTGATAAAGAGATATTTTCTCCACTCTCTCTCTCTCTCTCTCTCTCTCTGTTTTAAGTCCCAGTCCTCTCTTTCTCTGTCTCTATGAGGCTATTATAGGTAGATAGTGGCGTTGATGAGGAGAAGTTCAGGTGAATGAACACGGAGAGGGCAAGTGTGTGATGGGGGTGCCATTGCGTTTCAAATTCCAACGCAATGCATGAAAGAATGAAAGATTAGACAAATGAGGATTATTTGTGTGTCCCTGCGCCTTTATGGCTACGCATTCACACAGTTGTGATTGCTCTGCTTTCTTGTTGCGCTGCTCCGTGAAAGGACTGGGGTCTGGCTTTAATTGGCAAACTGGGCTCAAATCAATTTGTGTGGTTCACACACAATCCGATCCGATCCGATCCATCTCGGCCTACGTTACGGACCTACATACAGGCTAGCAAGTTCAGTGCTAAAACAACATTAGCTTTAATCCTCCTTTTGGGGCGATTAATAAACACTTATGGTGACGCTTACAGGCATGACCCTTACCCTCTCAGTTATTGTTTTGTGCGCGGCAGTAATCAGCTTAAACGAAACCGATGGTCCTCAACAAAACTGAGATAATTAATAACCAATCCGATAAAAAAAAAAATTTTGGGATGAAGTACTTGTTGTTATGTATTACTCCAGGATTCCGTAGTGTCATTGTTTAGTGTCCGAGTCAGGTTTGTGTCGGTTTGTTTTTTTGGTCTAAGTTATCAACAAGGAATCATACACGTCAAGTGTTTAGGTGGTTTGAATCGTCGCGGGTGTGGGTATCAGTGCCTTGCCAATTTGAATTGAGGAGGTCAGGGTCACCATATATCACGAGCTACCTAGTGGTCAGCAAAGGGGAACACCATGAGAAATTGCCACCAACTTTGAAAGTTGCTAGGGACTACTGAGCAAACGTCGGTATGATCCGCGGTTCATATGTCAAAAGTCTTGCATCATGCTACATGGGTCCATGGCATTGACCCAAAAAAAAAAACTATTAATGAAGAATTAAGGTCAAATACATAAGGTCGAGATATATTAAGATGCAATCGAGGTTGTTATTTAGGTTAAAAAAAAAGGTAGCAGAAGCAGATACTGTTAGAAGATAATTTGTAATTCTAGAAAACTCTAGGATATTTGTAAAAAAGTATGTAAAGTAGAAATATCTAAAATAATCTAGGAAGAAAATATATTAAGCATGGATGTATGTAGAATTATATAGAATTCTCTAGAATTTTGATGTATCATGAAAAATCTAAATATTCTAGAGAATTCCTTGTGAGGCTATAAATAGCCTCGAATGTAAGCTTTGTAATCAAGCTTTGAAGCAATTCATACAAAGTTTCTTCAAGTTCTTAGCCTCTTCTCATTTTTCCTCTTATTTCCTCCATTCTCAATCCATCCCGCTTCCTCAACTCCAACAAATTTGGTATTAGAGCCATCCTTTTCCACCTCAAATCAATCTTGAAAGCATTTAGCTTTTCACCACCATTCTAAATGGCAGACTCATCAGCAATTGTCCCTTCTCTTTTCAATTACTCTCAAAACTTAGTCCCCATTTTCGACGGCGAAAACTATGACTTCTGGAGCCTCCAAATGAAGACACTTTTCATCTTTCAAGAACTTTGGGTGCTTGTCAAAGAAGGTTATGAAGGTCCAGATGACTCAGCAATGTTAGTATCATGAACACCAGCAAAGCAAAAGGAGTATAAAGAGAACAAGAAAAAGGATGCGAAGGCGCTTCTCTTTATCCAACAAGGGGTAAGCAAAGCAATCTTTCCCCGAATAATGTTCGCGTCAAAATCAAAGGATGCATGGGACATACTCAAACAAGAATTCAATGGCTCCGATAAGATAATCTCTATCAAACTACAATCTTTATGGAGAGACTTTGACAACATAAAGATGAAAGATAACGAATCCGTGAAAGAATTTTCTGATAGAGTTACCTCAATTATTAATCAAATTAGAAGCTATGAGGATAAAATAGAGGATAAGAAGATAGTTGAGAAGATACTAAAAAGTCTTCCCCCTACATGGGATCATATTGTTGCTGCCATAGAAGAATCTAAAGATTTATCAAAACTAAGTTTTTATGATAATGGCTTCTTTGGAGTCACATGAGCTTAGAAGAAGCAGATTTTCAAGCCAAGAGGTGGAGCAAGCGTTTTAGTCAAAACTAATATTTTCAAGGAAAGGAGGAGATGGAACTAAAATGAATAAATAAAGAAGATTTTCTCAGAAAGTACAAGATGGAAGAGGCAACTACCATGAAAGAAAGTTTGGGAGACAAGGAAAAATTAATGAGGGAGACAAAGATTTCTCAAAATGTAAGCCTACATCCTATTGTAAAATATGTAGTAAGTCTGGACATAGCACATACAACTGTAAGTTTAAATACACAAACTGTAGAAATGCTAATCACTCCCAAAAAGATTGTTGGTATCAGAAAAATAATGAAGTCCACTATACAAAATTAGAAACCGATCACCTACTTTATTCATGTTTTAATGCACAATCAGAAGAAAAGGATACTTGGTATTTGGATAGTGGATGCAGCAATCATATGATAGGAAATAAGAACATCTTCGTAGAGTTGAAAGATGAAATAAGCTCTCAAATAAAGCTTGGAGACGAAAAATTACAAAACATTGAAGAAAAGGGAGTGATAGCAGCCCAGACAAAGCGAGGTAAGACGAAATACATCTCAGATGTTCTTTATGTTTCGGGGCTAACTCAAAATTTACTTAGTGTGGGACAATTAATCAAAAAAGGATATGCAATCAATTTCTTTAAGAATGAATGTGTGATAATAGATGATAAGAATAAGCAGATAGTGGCTAGAATAAAAATGGCTCCTAACAAAGTTTTTCTCTTAAAAATGTCAATAGAGAATCTTGCACTCAAATCAGAAGAAAATAATGATTCTCTATTATGGCATCAAAGATATGGCCACTTAAACTTCAAGAGACTAAATTTGCTAAAAATGAAGAATATGGTGATAGGACCCTCACACATAAATAAAGAAGAAAAAGTTTGTGAATGATGCATTTATGGAAAAATACATCGCTTACCATTTACTAAAACATCTTGGAGAGCAAAAGCCCCGTTAGAATTAGTGCATTCTGATGTTTGTGAGCCAACACAAACCCCATCATTAAATGGAAGAAGATATTTCTTATTATCTGTTGATGATTATAGCAGAATGATGTGGGTATATTTCTTAAAAGCAAAATCAAAAGTATTGTCAAAGTTTATTGAGTATAAGGCTCTTGTAGAAAAGCAAAGTGGTCACAAATTGAAAGTTCTGAGAACTGATCATGGAGGAGAGTTCACTTCCAATGAATTCCAAAATTTCTGTAAAAAACATGGAATTAAAAAGGAGCTAACAACAAGGTACACTCCACAACAAAATGGAGTAGCAGAAAGAAGAAATAGATCAATTGTGAAGATGACTCCGTTCAGAAACTCAAGGCTCGATTAGTCGCGAAGGGTTACTCTCAACAACCAGGAGTCGACTTCAATGAGAGATTTGCCCCAGTTGCTCGTATGGAGACCATAAGGACGGTATTGGCTATAGCAGCACAGCTCAAGCTCAAAGTATTTCAGCTAGATGTCAAGTAAGCATTCCTAAATGGAGAACTCGAAGAGGAAGTCTATGTCAAGCAACAACAGGGCTACATAGTCAAGAAAGAAGAAAACAAAGTTTATCGGTTGCACAAAGCACTATACGGGTTGAAGCAAGCACCGTGGGCTTGGAATAGCAAAATTGATAGCTATTTTCACGAGAATGGATTTCAAAGGAGCCCGAGTGAACCATCTCTATATGTGAAGAAAAAAGGTGCAGACTTTCTTATTGTTTGCCTATATGTTGATGATTTAATTTATTGTGGTACTAACACCATGATGATTGAAGAATTTAAAAGAAATATGAAATAAGATTTTGAGATGATAGATTTAGGATTGATGAGATATTTTCTGGGACTACAAGTAAAACAAACTGAAGGAGAAATATTCATCAATCAAGAGAAATACTGCGAAGATCTTCTGAAGAGGTTCAACATGAAGAATTGCAATCCAGTAGCTACACCAGCATTGCTAAATGAAAAGCTATCAACGAACGATGGAGCGCCAAAGGTGGATGCCTTAAGTTACAGAAGCCTAGTCGGATCGCTAATCTACCTCACAAACACTAGGCCAGACATATTGTATGTTGTAAGCATTGTGTCCAGATTCATGAGCAATCCAAGCAAGCTACACTATGGAGCAGCGAAGCGGATTCTTCGATATCTTCAAGGAACAAAGAGTAGTATGGGAATCAAATACATAACAGAAGAAGACAATGCATTATATGGCTGCACTGACAGCGACTGGGCTGGATGCATTGATGATCGCAAAAGCACTTCAGGATATATCTTCACTCTGGGGTCTAAGGTAATATCCTGGACCTCAAAGAAACAACAGATCATAGCTCTCTCATATGCAGAAGCAGAGTATATTTCAGCTACAAATGTCGCATGCGAAGCTGTATGGCTTCGAATGATTTTATCTGATTTACAACAACACCAAGAGTCACCGACTACTCTCTATTGTGACAGCAAGTCTGCAATAGCCATGACAAAGAATTCAATCTTCCATGCTAAAACCAAGCATATTGAGATTCGTCACCATTTCATCAGGAAACTTGTTGAAGATAAGGAGATCGAGCTAGAGTTCAT